AGGGGTCTGCTGGCTTTACGTTTACTTGTTGGTGTGTCAGAATGGCAAAAAAACTTCGGGATCTATATAATAATTAGGTGCTTTTTAGGTGCTAATTAGGGCCTCTAATTAAAAATTAGGTGCTCCTCTATAGTAAAATATATTTTTTCAAATTTTCTCTTCTAGTTTTTGAGAAAATCAAAAAAAACTAAGGGATTGCTAGGTTTATGAAAGCTAGTAGTCCCCTAATATTTAAAAAAAATCTGTAACTCAGTTAATTATTATTATTATTATTATTATTATTAAATAGCATTTATTGTTCAATTTTTCATGTAATACAAAAAATTTTGCACATGCACAATAAATACAGTAAGCCCACAAGAGTAAACTCGCGCGTGGGCGTTAAGGAACCTAAAGTACATAAGCTATAAAGTCTGGAGAAAAATGATTAATACCATAAAACTATACTAAAATAAAAATATGACAAAATTTTTGTTATACACACATACCCAATGTATTATTATACTACCATAATTATATTATATCATACATTGCTATAATTATAATCGTTTTTTTCGTCAAGTAATTGGTAAATTTCATTTCTATTTGTTATTGAGTATAGCATTTGTTTTGTTACCTTTTTAAATATTATGAATGATTGTGAGGTCCTAATAACAGAAACAATTTTGTATATACATTGGCACTGAGGTAGATGAAACAGCGCTGTCCAATGGTTTTCTTCATTTGTGGTTTAGCTATAGAATTAGGTCTGTGAGGAGTATTGTAGTCATGCTCTATGTTTTGTATGATTGTTTTCTTTTGATATAGCCTATTTGCCATTATTTGATTAATAATTGATCAATTCTATTTTTTCTTCGACTATTAAGGAGCACCTAAAAAGCACCTAATTCTGATACAAAAGAAAATTTTGGAAATAGTACATTATATACCTAGGTAGAGAAGTTGGTGTAGCGCGTAGCGCCGAGGTTTATAATGCGTAAGGTATATAATGACTTTCTCTACCGTGGAATATATAGAATTTTTTTTACTACTGCTATAGTACAAAATAAAAAATAAGTTTGAAATCTGTGCTCAAATTATTTTCCCTAGTTGGAAGTGCTGCCCTCTATCAACATCTATGGTAATTTCCTATAATACATACAGGAACCTGTTTTTTTGATTAAATTGACAGTTTGAAATTGAAATTAAACCAATAGAAACCTGTAACGTTATGACAATATCCTTGCGTCATGACGTCATTTTCATTATTGACCTAGGTTTTTTTTCATTATTTTCATTATTAACCTAGGGAGAGAAATTCAATTTTTTCTTAGAAAAATAGATTGAATAATGTCTATTTCTCAGGTCAGTAGTAAAAATAGTATATTATATACCTAGGTAGAGAAGTTGGTCATTATATACCGAAAGCTTTTATAAACCGAGGCGCGCAGCGCCGAGGTTTATAATGCGTGAGGTATATAATGACTTTCTCTACCGAGGAATATATAGAATTTTTTTTACTACTGCTAGTAGAATAAAAAAATTGTTTAAAATCTGTGCTCTAATTATTTTTTGTGAACGCCCTCTTGAAAGTGCTGCCCTCTATCAACAGCTTATATAACTTCCTATGTACCTACAGAAACCTGTATTTTTTTTCAATTTGACGTATGAAATTGAAATTGAACCAATAGAAACACGACAATATCCTTGCGTCATGACGTCATTTTCATTATTGACCTAGGTATTTTTTCATTATTTTCATTATTAACCTAGGGAGAGAAATTCAATTTTTTCTTAGAAAAATAGATTGAATAATGTCTATTTCTCAGGTTAGTAGTAAAAAAAAATATTTTTTACTATAGGGGACTTCTAGCTTTCATAAACCTAGCAACCCCTTAGTTTTTTTTGATTTTCTCAGAAACTAAAGGAGCACCTAATTTTTAATTAGATGCCCTAATTAGCACCTAAAAAGCACCTAATTATTATATAGTTCCCGAAGTTTTTTTCCACCTTGGGACTGCTAGGTTTATAGACCTGCTTTAATATAAGCATAGAGTATCAATAAACAAGCGCTGTTCTTCATGTAAATGGCTCATCAATATCTATCAGACATCGCAGTCGCAATAAAAAAAAAGGCTAAAATCGTCCGATAAAATGTCAGATCAAGATAATATTACCGCCAGAGCTTTATCTGTATCGGATAATCTCAATAGAACGTAATAAAATATCGATTTTATCGGTTATAAACCGATTTTAATGAAAAACTACATAAAAATCGAATTTTTGTGCGGTTTTATAATCGATCGAAAGCAATTACAAGTCAATTAATATTCATGTGAACAAGCCTAAACAGTAGCTAATGGAAAAGTTGATTGATAATTTTATAATTTATTAAATCCAGTTTAGAACATATAATTGACTTAGTAGGTACTTATTTCTGTCTGTGCTTTTTTTTTTTTAATTTTCATTATTCAAATACATATTTTTTCTACGAGCGTGCGGGAAATTTCTCTTCCCGCACTCGTTTGGAAAAAAGCTATCTTAGGGACAATTATTTTAATACAATTCATTTTTAGCTCGGTAGTGATGCCTCTCTCGTCTCATCTCGAAGGTGCGAGATAAAGTAAGATTCTCGTCTCAACGAGGGACTCTCGAGATAGGAAGAGATAGCCTTTTTCTCAAAATTCACTGAAATCACTATATATTTTTTTCCCGATTTTGGTCAGTCAGAGATGAATGTAAATTTTGAAGTTTTCTTTATCCTTCAACCAAAACAGGATTTCGACCTGATATTCTCAGAGTTTGAGTTTTCCTTTGAAAATGTGAGACTTCTGGGGGCCAGGCAAGAATCTGTATTATTCTAACTTCTCTCCATGAGTCAGATTTATCTCGCTGCTATACTCTCTGATCTATATATAAAGCTGAGCTGTATAAAGATGACACATCTTAAACATGCACTGAACTACTGAGGCAAGATTCGGTGTACCACTTGTATAAATTCTTGCAGCTCTTCTTGATCTCTCTGATAGAGTCAAGATCATCACCAAATTGTCTTGAACTCGTAAACATGTTCAAGCTCGAAAAGGTACCATCAAGGTAACCAACCGAACTAACGCCAACTTGTAAAATCAGAACGAAAGCCACGAAACATCTTTGTAAGTGCGCTACTCCATGACAGAAGCAGTTGGCAGACTTGGGCGATAAACTGATGAATCGATTATTGTAGTGGCCCACGCGAGGCGGCAATTGGTTTCTGCCATTGTTTTGTCCCAAGGGGCCATCTGCGATGGAATTTATGGTCGATTTTTCGGAATTTAATTGCGAAAGGAGAATTTTCGGCAGCGCGGCGGTCTCGCCTTTGTGTCCGATTGTCGTCTGTCCGGTCGCTTAATTAAAAATTGACGTATCTATTTAATGGGCGAGCTTCACCAATAAGGAAATCACGTATTGTTACACCTAGGTGTATAACTTTAAAAATGTTTTTGGATAATGGCATTTGAGTGATGTTTCCGAACTGGGAACGTAATGCTATAACTTGTAATTTTCTTTATCTTGCCAGTTTGCCCTTCAATTTTAATTTCTGTTGAATAATGCCAGGTAGGTTACTACAATTGATGATTATGAAATAACAAAGTGGAAGCAGTCAGGACAGGAATACATACTACATATACAGAAAAACGAAGGATGAGTAATACACTGGAGGCGTAAAATTTCACAAAGGATATGGGGCCTCATTAAAGAGTTCAGAGAAAAGCTACAAAAATCCCACCAGAAACTAAACACATGCCATAATCCTCGTAAAACATTATTCATTGCTCGTTGGAAAGTAGCAGGAGCATTTTTCAGGTCGAAGGGCATACGTGTGTATTCGTAATGTCCATAGTCTATATTAAATGCCATTTCAGGAATAGTTTTTGAGATACTTTCATAACTGGTAGGGGCTTTTGGAACATTGTACTTTGAGTTTCACACAAGCATTTGATACTGCTAGAACACTTGAAATGGCTCAGCAACATTCCGAATCTTATCTTACACCTTTTCTGTTCAAATATGAATGCTGCGATCTCTCATCAAACTCCTGATAATTCTTCGAATTTACAGAGCGAAAATGACCATGCTATAGCAGCTGTCGCTTCTAAATGCTATTTTTGTGGTAGATCTAGACATGCCAGAGATAAATGTCCAGCGAAAAATTCTATTTGTTACAACTGCGGAAAAAAAGGCCATGTGCTGATATTATAATTGGACATGATATTCTCAAACAACATTCAGGAGTAGAATTCAGTTTCGGGGGAAGCAAACCACCGATCTCCTTATGTAATTTGACTATCGCTAAGGTAGAACCATATCCATTATTCGAACATTTGGAAGAAAATTGTAAGCCTATTGCAATTAAATCTCTCAAATACTCCTCAGTTGATTTAAAATTCATTGAAGCTGAAGTGCAAAGACTTTTAGAAGACAAAATAACCGAGCCAAGCAATCTCCCGTGGAGAGCCCAGGTGCTAGTGACCAGTAATGAAAATCATAAGAAGCGAATGATTATAGACTACTCATTGACCATAAATAGATATACATATTTGGATGCATATCCGTTACCCAAGATTGGTCAACCAAATTTGTCAATATGAATATTTCAGTTCGATAGATCTTTATAGTGCATATTATTATCACCAGATACCAATTCTAGAGCATGAACGTATATACATTGCTTTTGAAGCATGTGGAAATCTATACCAATTCTCTCGAATCCCTTTTGGAGTAACTAATGGCGTTGCTTGTTTTCAGAGAAATATGAATAACATTATCAAACAAGAACATTTAGAAGACACATATGCATTTCTTGACGACGACGTAACCATCTGTGCTCTGTAATATTCTGAGTTTATTAAAGCCTGTATTCTAGAGGTTTTTATTTACTTCACTAACCAACCCATGAAACATCATTATTCATAGAATACTTTTGCATTCTGTATGAACAAAACAATAATTCAATTAACAATGTTGTTTTTTTTTTCTAGGTTTACACCAGCTATGCTGTTAGAACAACTGCCCCATTTGAAAACAGTAATAGACCTCACCAACACCAACCGATATTACAATAGCGAAGTAAGTCAAATCTCCAAATCTCCAACCATTTACGTTACATTATATATATTTTTTTAATTATAACATTCCTCTCTCAGCCGCAGTCATTAATTTATCCTAATGAATAATGTATGCGCCGAAAGTAAATCACATAATCGAAATGAGAATAAAAACCATTCAACTTGGTTTTGGTATAAGATGTTGCTGACATGCACCAGTGATGGTCAGACCAAATTATTATTATTAGTTTGGTATCTTTTTTTATTTTACGGACTTGGAATGGTATCAGGTTAACGGTTTGACTTTGTAATATGTTTGGTCAAGAATTTCGAACTAAACAGATTGCAAATCGTTTCAGAAAACTGATTGACTCCAAATACATAAGTTCGACCAATATAGAGAAAACTTTTTCTGGTATCGCTCCCATTAGAACCCTATTATTAAAAAATTCAACGCCCAAAAGCCCCCATATCATGTTGGATTGTTTTTCAGGACTAATAGAATCGTTTATATTAGATTATAAACCTATTATTATGGGTGTCAGGCTGGATTTGTTTGGTATTGTGTTCGGACAACGGATAAGCATTTAGCTTGTCAAAACTATTCGGGAGTCTGAGGCATTTAAATAATAAATATATTATTTAAATTATGTATGAATTATTGAGGGCGTTTGATAATATGAATAGTTACTTTATGATACGAGGACGAAAAATACATTGATTTTAGGTGTCTGATGTCTAGTTTGAAATCTCTTGCAAGATAAGTTCATCGTAGGGCCTTTTTCACTGGTTGTCAAATTAAGATTAACATTTTAAACTACTCTAGGCCAAATTATAACGTTTAGATGGGCGTATAGGTTCAGATTACGAGGGACTAATAGGGAAGTTCAGCAGCATCACGTTATTTATCAGTATTTTTAAATCATTGAAACATATGCAAATAGTGGCTATGTTCTAAGCTGATGGCTCAGAATTAGTGATGTAATAATGTGAGACACACAATTAGGTCTATATACTCTGTAATGATAGAAGAATATGTAAGTGTGAGTGCATGAAATTAGGATAAGACTAGAATAATTGAGTAGTTACTGGATAGAACAATGATCATTAGAATCAACAGAAAATATGAGAGGAGAAAGATGTTGCCTGTTGTTTCAAAATTTACAGACAGGACTAGGTTACTAGACACATTCAATGGAACCAGTTGATTTATACCCATTCCATGGCCCTGCATGTTATTCAAATTCGTGCCTATTCGACATGTCGGCTATACTCAGTTTCGGCAACACCACTGCCTATAAACCAGGTAGGTTAATTCGTCTTATCACTTATATGTCTAGTAGGTTGATCCGGTCTGTATATAAAGCAAACTGTAATAATTGAATATTATATTCTGCACTTTTGACTCAGACTTTCAGCCGGTATAGTGAGAATTTTCTCTTCAACCTGTTAGTTCCAATCTTCATCATTATTGTACAATTTTTCCAAGTTGTGCTTAGCAATTTGTTGAAATGTGATTGATGTATCATTAGTAAACGTTCTACGACAGAGCTGGCACACTTTTTCCCAACCCGTCAGGAATATCATGTTTCACGGTTAAACATGATACCCCTGTTTGTTTCCACATTAAATGTCGGCGGCGTGCTGATTCACGAATTTTTCTTATTTACCACTACGGTAACCTGTGAAAGGACACAACGAACTTCACACTATGTACGCTAGATGGCGTCACCGATAACAACTTGACGTCGAAAAATTTTGGCTTGGCCCGGGTCAAATCCACGAAATTTCAGATTAAAGGCGCCGCCGGTCTAGAGATTTACCCACGGTATCGAAAAATTTCTCAGGCTCAGGTGCCCCCGTTACTACTAACCTGTCTCGAAAAGCTGTCTTTATAGACAGTACGACCCGATGGCGAAACGACGATATTATTATTAGTTACGTCATCATCAGTACAATGCACCTTGCATGAGGTACCAAGTCACGAGGTGCAATGTGTGTTCGATGAGCCGCTTGGAGCCAGGTACGCTCAATGACCCTGAACGCAGCGGCGACTGACCGGTTAGTGCGACCAATGAAAGACACGGGAACTGGAAAGGGAGCGGGGCTTATTTCTGGAAATTTAACCCGAATCCAAAATGGTACAAAAAAGTGCAGATGAACCTTCGATTTTCTTATGGAGATTTACACGGGAAAATGAATGAAAGTGTGCTAGCTCTGTCCTAGCCCCTTTGCTATCATTTTCTTTTGCGTATTCAGAATAATAATTTGCTCTTATATATTTGTTATTTTTTCTCTGGTGCAACCGAATAGAACATTTCTAAATAATCAAAATTCAATTTTATCGGTGTAGCTTTCAAAAACCTTAAGATAAATCCTGCTGTAACTCCCTACTAAAAATCACTACACGAGAGGAATGCTTTAAGAGATTTCATCGCCCGTTCAAGTCTATTATAGTTGTTTTAATTCCTCAGCGTGAAATTGGTTTATTAAAATACTCCCTGGGAAATAAATAGACTATACAGCAGACCGCACGAAAAGTCGAAACAGAGATATGTTTTTATGGCTTTTTGAGTGGTTTCCCTAAATGCAGCTTGTTTGGACGATCGTAAAAACTGTTGATAAATGTTACGTCGGACTTTTGATTATTTTTTTTTCTATCGTGTTGACGTCAGAAATCGAGATACTGAGAGAAGGGTTTTCACTAAGTAAGACAGGTGATTATAGAAACATGTTAATCGGGTTAAAGTAAACTGAATTCCTGAAATCAAGTACCTAATAAACAGTGTAATAGGCAACTTAAATTTATACAAATAACTTAAGTGTAATTAATTTTGTAACGTTAATATTTCCAACTTGTGACAGTTCATTCGGTTCCTAAAAAAATACCATAAGATCAAATGAAACACAATATATACTCACAAAGATTTTTATTCAAATAGCTCAGTGCATAACTATGTTTCAATGAATATTTATTCCTTGAGGTCTGTCAGCTGTTGGGTATTGGTTGTCTGTAATTCGATCACTTTTGAGAAGTTTTTCCTTAAATCGACTCTCTTTGCTGCATATTCCGGTACTAACAAAAAAAAGAAAACCATCACCAAGATATTTGTGCGCTCAAGAGGGTTGGTTGTATCACCTGGGTTGTGTTCCTTCTGTGGATCAAAGGTAAAGGCCATGCAGTGCTTTCTAGGAAATTGTAATCCTGCCTGTCAAACTGTGTGACCATGTGCTTTACGAGTACGAATTGGCAACGTCGATTAGTGATGATGAGAGGGGGTGTTTTCTGTCACTCTTTAGGGGCACTTCTGATTTGGTCGAGTTTTCATTTATGTATTTTTACGCGCACCATGTGCGGCGGATTCGAAATTTTTCGGGGAAATTCTAGAAGTCGAATTTTCGTGGAATTTGTGGGAAACTTCCGGCGAATCCTTTCTTGTATGGTGCCATCATGCCTTGGCAGGCAGTTTCAGTCTTTGTCTGGATTTAGTGCTCTTCTGGTATTATGAAGTGAGGATTATTGGTCCCTGTCCGTATTGCGAAGATTTGCCTTGTAGTAGAATCAAGGAATTATTTGCGTTTGAAGGATTTCGCACCCATTTTGGTGAGTATTTTAATTGCTACTTTGCCACCGCCCACGTGCTTCACCCGATGCCATCGTTCAGTGAAGCTCCTCACTGCTGAATTGGTCCTCAAAGGCCCCTGGAAACCGATCCATTGGTGAGCATTTTTTTTTTTTTAATTTCATATTATATTTGTCCTGAAGTCTGTATTTCTGGGATTTTTTTGTTGCCTCGTACGCCAAAGTGATTGGCTGAGGAATGTTCCTTTTATTTTTATATTGGGGTTTTGAGCTAAAGAATTTCGATCTTCTATTAGTGGTATTGGAGTCCTGGGCTGGGATTCTGTAACGAATAGCGATATTTTCGCTATCTCTATTGACGTCCCCTCTCTATGGATTACGAAAAGAGAGACGAAGATAACAGGTGCCATAGCGATATCGATAACGATCTTTATCTGTTACAGAATTCCGCCTCTGGACTTACACTAGTGGCGGAGCCCTGAGCTCACAGCCTTCCAAGTCACACGAGCACTTGGGCCCCACGTTGGGCGCCAAAAACTAAAGCGTAATATTAAGATGTTACCCGTTAAATCTGAAGGAAACGAACTAAGCATAAATAATTTCCAGATTGGTATAAAGTCAGCGACAAGTGAGTCTGACAGCTTTTAAACAGTAGAGAATGGGGTGGGTTGGTTCTAGACTATTTATTAATCTACCATCGACTTCACAAGTGACAAGTGGTTTAACTACGTGGCGCCTTATAAATAATTACTTACAGCTTTAAAACCCACCCCATTCTCCACTGTTTAAGAGCTGCCGGACTCACTTGTCGCCGACTTTATACCAATCTGGGAATTATTTGTGCTTAGTTCGTTTCCTTCAGATTTAACGGGTAACATCTTAATATTACGCTATAGTTTTTGGCGCCTAACGTGGGGCCCAGGTGGTCGTGTGACTTGGAAGGCTGTGAGCTCAGGGCGCCGCCACTAGTACTTTGTACCATATAACTGCTTGAATATCGCACGTTGGTATTCATCCAAGTAATATTGAAAGAGTTCGTATAAGTTCAAAACACCACAGAACAAAGTATCATGGAAAAGTAGTCTGGCGAGCAGAGGCAAGAGTTTTTTTGTTATCGTGTCAGAATTTACGAATACGTAAATTTGAAGAAACAGGTAAAGACAACAATGAGCATCTGTAGAATGCAGACCAAAATATTCAGGTTCAAAACGAGCCCATCAGGCAGAGCACTAATGGAAGGATTTTATGTTCAGAATTCAGAACAATGATATGAGTTTTTGTTCTTATAATTTCCAGATTGATCAGCTCCAAAAGCCAACTACACACAAATCTCCGCGACGAATTATTGCTGTTCACAGTTCATTGAAAATTAGTCGATGATACTATTTCCTTGGATTTCTTAGCCACACTATTCTAGCAACGTTTCTTTTTTCTTGGAATTAATACTCTACAATGAGTTAGAGGAATAGGTATTTTGTTTCTCCCTTCACAAATATTGTAGTTTTTTGCTCTTATGGACATCAGGTGATAGTTCTTAACCTCTATTTATAGCTCAATATCCCCGAATTTCTCACATGATCTACCCGAAAATTTCTTCTATTCCATTACATTACGAATGTCTAAACTCGTTCTGTGATTTCTGGGCTTGAGGGTTCATTCCTCAAGACTAAACAGGAACGCGAAAACCAGAACAAAATATAACTTGCTAGTGTACAGGGTGTTTTGAATGTCAGAAATGTGAAATATTGCATGCTGTCAGCTTTTTTCAAATGGGATGCCCTATACTTGGTTTTATATTCTTGAGGAGCATATTTTCCTGATTCCAAAACTATATACTTTGTCTATATTTCGTTGAGCCGTCTCAAACATATTTGGTTCTAAATCAGAAAAACCAAGAACCTCAAATTTTACCTGCAGTTTTCACCTGTACAGGTAGAATGGTTCACAAAATCAGTAGTAGGATAGTATTTTTACAATTTTTGGAGCCGAATATATGAGAGATTGCTGAATCAAATATAGATCTGGGAATTGTGCTCTTCAAGAATATCTAAAGAATGAAATATAGGGTACCTCATTCGAAAAAAATGTGTAAATACAACTTTTGTATTTACACCTTTCTTCTACCTGTAAAGGTAAAGGCTGTAGGTGGGGTGTCAATACATGAAAAAAAACACCCTGTACAAATAAGTGGATTATTGCGGAACTTATGGGTGGACCTCTGCGGGACGAGCGCAGCGAGTTCCGCAGCCATCTACTCACCAATATACTTGAACTTGAACATATTGGTGAATAGATAGCTGGAACCACCCATAAGTTCCGCAACAATCTACTCATTTGTACTTGAGTAACGTGTCACATTATGTTACGGGTTTGGTAAAGTAACATTACTAATTCCTGGTAAAAAGTAAATTGACAAAAAGTGAATAGGTAATTTTACAAATTCTGACTTTATATAATAAGTTATTTTTCAAGTACAAATAAGTGGATTGTTGCGGAACTTATGGGTAGATCTCTGCGGGACGAGCGCAGCGAGTTCCGCAGCCATCTACTCACCAATATACTGTTGAACTGTTCAAGTAAGCCATTCATCTGAAATGTGTAGTTTTTGAACTAATGAGAATAGCTCACATTTGAGTGTGCCAGGTTAGTATCGTAATTAAACAACATATTGATGAATAGATGACTGCGGAACTCGCTGCGCTCGTCCCGCAGAGGTCCACCCATAAGTTCCGCAACAATTCACTCATTTGTACTTGAATAACTTGTCACATTATGTTACTAGTTTGGTAAAGTAACATTACTAATTCCTGTTAAAAGGCAAATTGACAAAAAGTGGATAATCTTACAAATTCTGACTTTATATAATAATTAATTGATCAAGTACAGGGTGTTTTTTTATATACTGACATCTTACTTACAGCCTTCACCTTTACAAGTAGATGAAAGGTGTAAATACAAAAGTTGTACAGTACTCGAAAAACACCCTATACATACATACAATACAGAATGACGGTGTTTTCAAAACTTTCCGGTCTTTGATTCTGATACTACGGTTGTATAATCCTAAATAACATCAGTTATATAAACATCTTGGATATTAGGAAAATTTACGATTATTTTTGTTCTAAAACATCCCATAAAATCTTGCTAAGTCATCTGCTTTACGATTTCACAAATAATTTTGAATGAGAGACAAAATGCAAAGATAAATCATATCTTTTATGATAGAAAACTATAAAATATAGTATTTTCCTTGGTAAACGACATCGAAGCTATCGATCATTCGAATCCGTAGCCCATAAATACGCTTTATATCGATTAAGGTGCAATAACAGTTAAAATATCTATTTTTCAGGAAGAATTCAGGACAAAGGGCATCGACCACGTTAAAATCCTGGTTGACGGCAAGGGTAAAATTCCGCCCAAATGGCAGATTCAGAGGTAAGTGACTCGCTCACCTTGTTTTCCTAGATTTAGCCCTGCGGTGAAAAATACGATAAACAACTCCTCGTCTGAGAAGTTCGGCAAAGAATGTCCGCGTCGAGGTAAAAGATCGTGGTTTTTCTTTAATTTATCGGTTGTTTTGTATTTACCCGCGCTGGATAGTGGATGTTGGAATCTTTTTGAATTTAGTAACTCTAGCTTGGCAAGTTGGTAATGGTCTGTGGAAAATCTTGTTTGAACTATGCACTTGTTTTTTTTTAGTTTTAAATTTTATTTAACATAATGTTGATATGATACTGAATACATGGGATCATGAAAGTCAGTGGCTTTTGCATTCTTGAGTAGTATACCTTATTCTATGACTTGCCAGAATCAGTTTTTAAATAGGACACTTCTGTGTGGCTATACAAGGTGACCCAGAAAACTCCCTTCAAAGTCTATACACTAACCCAAACTAGTAGGGATTATGGTTGGAACAAACCTATAAGTGCTAGGAAACTACCTTACACACTTTGTACTTTTTTTGCATATAAACTAAGGCTCTTGCATCTTTCAAAAATTAATTATAATAGTAATAAGTAAATATATAGGTATTTTCTAATGTCTATTTCCTCTCAAAGCATTTGACCATAGAAAAACAAGTTCCAATAACCATTGCTCTTTCACTTAAGTGTCACCTTCTTGGGGAGTATCAAATAACACGTGACCTCCGATTTTCCCAGTGGATAATTGAATAAATTGGCTTTTATGGGTTCTCAAGTTTTGATCAAATGCACCTACAGGATATAATAATATCGCATTGGAATTTCGAAATTAAAATATCTTAATTTATTGTTCAGCATTCCGCAATTAAGAAACAAAAAAATAGAAGAGAACGTGATTCCCGCAAAGTCAAACATTGTTTGCTTAATACATAATTGATAAATTATGTTCTCTTAGGATCATGCTAAATTAATATTGAATAATCAATATTTATGAATTTCATGACACGATTAGAGTCGTAGTAATTTTTTTTCAAATTGCAACATTTGGCAAATATCTTGTAATCATTTATTTTCGCTTATTATATCAGACTCTAACATCATCAACTCGTTTAACAGTATTTTTGGACATACCTATATTTTATTGTAGAAAGAATCATGATATAACTATTATTTAAAGAAATTATTGAATGTCTTTCAGTTTTGGTAAGGTGTGTATAATTTCTAACTTATAAACAAATCAGAGATACTGGGAAGTGATCAAGATTTCCTCGGGATTTCCTAGATGCACCGATTTCAGCAATTTTTCAATTTTTTGATCGAAATATCACAGTATGTACAAGCGTTCTAGAATCCACTTGTTATTACCTCATACTATCAGCCAGTATGTTGTATTGATGCCACAATATGTCATACGTTTGATTTTGTTTTGTGCAAGACGATGAAGAGAAAATTCAGTTCCCATTCATTGGAATATCGGATACTTCGAATCAGAGAACAAGATGGATATTACGACCATAATGACATGAAAACTTCATAAAGGTCGGTCTAACAGCTGACTGTCGGCTCCAAAGAGGGCCTTTCTATTCAAAACAGGGCCTGTCCTCTATGGGCCTATCTGGCCTGTCTGTATATCTGTCTGGCCCACGTCTGGCCTGTCTATCTTGTCTGTCTCTCTGCCCATTTCAGATTATGTCCGCACATGCGTGTGAGCTCAAATAGCAAGTGGTGCCATCTCTTCGAAATCCTACAAGACACCAACAGAAAATTCCCTGTGGAAGGCGAATTGCATCTAAAAATTTGCAAAGTGCATCTGCTTTTGCTTGATGGAAAAGTCACACTAGCAGCAGCTCCAATCTCATTGTCTCCAACTATCAGAGATGGCACCACTTGCTATTTTTGCTCATACCTATGATGGCATTATGGTTATAACAATCGTCACTATCGACTGATGATATTTGCTGAAAGGAAAATATAATAGTACGACATCTGATGTTTAATTGAAGAGAAGAAAACCTAATTAAAATCATAAATAATGATTATATTCGTTAGGCGAAATGTCGTACGTCATAATATGTCAAAATTCATTAGGCATATCGTCGGCGTGTAGATTTTAATTATCCGCAACACGCGATATGTGTTCGTGTTTATCGGTCCTCGTTAACACGGCACCCAGCTACAACATAGATGAGATGACGTCTTTATTTCATAACATCCTATTGGGGAGTGTCTCGACATAGTCCTATATAATAATCATATAACTTAAGCAAAAATTCAAAGATTCATTTCCTGGATCTTTTCGGCACGTGACCTATGAGACGCCTTCAAGGCGTGACCGGTCGTAGAGTTAATGAGCCATCGTAGCGTGGGAGTTGATAAAAGGAAGTTAAAAGAGCCGCGTACGGCGATGATCCAATTTAATATCTAATTCGTCTGGCTAATAGAGATGTCCGCCTAACGCGGAGCCATTTATTTTATATCTCAACTTCAAATTTTATCGAGTCATTCGAGAAATTATCTGGTTATTAATAGGGCACGTCTACGTGATCTGTTCATTTCACTGTTAATATTTCAGTCAGATTATAATAGTATATGTTATTCAAGTTTGTATAGTGGTGCAACAAAAGAAGTTAACCTGCAACGTTTTCCCAATTTTTGGCAATAACTCAAACCCCCCGAAATCGTTCCTAATTTAGGGCCCATAAACCAGAAAAAATTAGCCCGAGTTTCGGGTCTCCAGCGGCTTTTCAAATTGGCCGGCGATCGAGCACCGTGGGGGTGTCAATAATTTCTTTTTTTTTTTATCGAAAAATTAAGCACCCCATTTTCGGAACAATATTTGGAAGTGTTGAGTCGTTTTCAAAAGGAATTTAATGCCTTAGTTGGATTGTGATGGATGGCGATCTCGTTAGGAGTTTTGTTAAAGCGTTAGGAGGATTGATAATGGAAAATGTCTGATCGTTAGATATCACTAATAGGGGTGTTTCACAATTAACCTAACTACCCTCACCTTTTAAATTTTTGAATTTTAAATTATCCACTTTGAGTAGTACTTCTGGCTAGTACTTGAAGCTCTCCGTATGGCCGTCCCTGATTTACTTGCATAATAATTGAAGAACTTTGATGGTGATCATCCTCATTACCATCCTTATAGGTACCATTTCTGATCAAAGATTTATGTGTTCTCTAATTATTTTCAAATTTTCCTCATCACTGTGTTTGCTGTTATGCATGGAGTTAAAAAAATCTAAGGGGAGTTTTATTGTACAGACCTTCTCCTTCAAATTACTAAGTTCAGTTTTCAAATCCTTCACCAAAGTACGAAGTGAATTGATGTCATTCTGTTCACCCTCAAATGGGGCTTTTATTCCTTGCGAAACAGAGATGAATTTTGTGGGCTTTCTGCTTCCTTGGTATTACCTTCTACATCCACCACAGTCCTTTTTCCTCAAATGACCAATTTCAGTGTTTGTATTCATTATCATGAATGAAGCGAATCAGCTTCCTCCTGTCCACCCTCAAATATGGCTCTTCTCCCTTTAGGGAGAAGGGTGAGTTATGTGGGATATCACCTAATGTGTCTGCTGGTGTTGATATAGATTGCCCTCATACATGTATCTAGTTGAAAAGCGTGATTTGGCGTCGCAGATCCAAAATCTATGCCTCTTGGATAAACATCATTCTCTTCTCGTCTGAAATCTCCATTGGCTTCTTCTTGTGTTTCTTATTCTGTTGGTCTACCATTCTCAGTCGATGTCACCAAAATCCCATTGCTTCTAATTCCTTGAGCCACGTGAGTTGGTGCCCCAGATCCAAAATCCATGCCGCTTGCATAAACATCATTCTCTTTTCGTCTGACTTCTCAACAAGCTTCTTCTACTCGTTCTTTTTCTGTTGGTCTGCCATACTTAGTCAAACAAGAACCTTCAGTTGAAATCGCGCCCTTTTAAACTTGCTCTTGAAGAAAAGGACTGAGATTGAAAATCCATCATTATTATCAAGGACCATTTGATAACTCTCAGCTATCACACAAACCCAATCAAGTCCTTCATAATTTGGAGCAGAATCCCTTTGAAAGGTCTTATGGAAAGACATTCCAGCATCCAGACTAGACGAATCAAGTTGCAGGAAGTGGTTTCTTTAACATTTTCAACTATTGTCAGCCTATAGGGACGGATTGGGTTCTGAACTTACAGCAAGCGGTTTCCTACATGCGGCGCCATCACCAAGAAAAAAATTGAAGTAGGTAAGGTCACTTGAACCTGGGAACTTTTTCGATACCGTGGGAAAATCGGCGGATTTTGCGGGTTTGGTACTGGTTTTATGATCGTTCAGCTGGTTTTGTGCTGGTTTTCACTGGTTTTGTGTTAATTTTAAATGCTTTTCACTGGGTTTATGTTGGTTTAGCTGGTTTTGTAAAATTCGGCACAAAACCGGCTATACCAGCAAACAACAGTGAAAACCCGATAGGATGGTGTACTGTGAGTGCAGGATCAGACTGGGTTCTGAACTTACGGCGGGCGATTTCCTCCATGGGACGTCATCACCAAGAAAAAGTTGAAGTAGGTATAGGGTCACTTGAGCCTGGGAACTTTTTCGATACCGCGGGAAAATCAGCGGACTTCGCTGGTTTTCTACTGGTTTTATGCTGGTTTTGTGCTAGATTTCACTGGTTTTGCGCTGATTTTAGGGGATGGCTGCCTAATACTGAAACTGATCCTGCGGAACTGATCTTCAGAGTAGGAACTGATTCAAACTGATCCACTGCAAAATAAACAGGTCCAAATTCGAGTTCGAGTCCGGACCACTTTTGCGTTATCTACATTGTACGGACTCGGACTCGGACTAATCGGATCACGCCGAACCGGCTAGTGAAACAAGGAAAAGTGCGGACTCGGACAAGGGACACGGAATCAGAGACGGAGTACACTACACCGACAGACTCGTTTCGGTCAACGGCTCGGGATTGTAGGGATCACGCCGCACTAGTGCGGCCGCTGGAACGGAGAGAGTACGAGAGTGAACCGAACGGAATAGAAAAAAAAACCGATCTAGGTGCTTTATAATACTAGATGTTGTCTAGGGAATTTAGGGAAGGGAACGGAACAAGATGGTTGTTTTCGCCAAAATAGGAAAAACCAATATTTCGGTTCGGTCCATCGTTCATCGGTTCTCGGTTCGACTCGGTCGGACTCGAACTTGGAACTGATCCATGGAACAGGTATCTGTTTGGACTGTATCAGTTCGGAACTGATCCGTAAAATTTGTCGGATCAGCCACCCCTAGCTGAGTTTCACTGCTTTTCACTAGTTTTATATTGGTTTAGCTGGTTTTGTAAAATTCAGCACAAAACCTGTTATAATTTCAAACAACAAACAACAAACAACCCGCAAAAACCAGCAAAAAAAAAACAGCTAAACCAGCCTAAAACCAGTGAAAACCAGCACAAAACCAGCAAAATCCGCCAATTTTCCCACGGCATCGAAAAACTTCCCAGGCTTAAGTGACTCTATACCTTCTAGTTGAAAGTAAGGCTAATCATATGTTATCGACAAGAATGAATTACCAGACCGCTATTTGTTTCCTAAGAATAAAATCAACATTTTATTGAAGTTTTCGCTAGTCTTAGCTACATTATTGATAATTTCGTTATTGTCTAACGACATGAGTAATTTTTTTTCCACAGACATTATCATAAACACTTCCAGGTCGTTGTGATTTAGGTTACTTCTTAATTGATTTAAATATACTTCAGCTTCTTGAGCTTCGATCACTAATTTGTGCAACTGATAGTCAACAAATATTTGTAAGCTTTCGAAAGTATTGGATAAACATATACGTAAAGGTTAACATGGTCCAAGTGTACGTGGATCAAGTAGCCTTGGACGCTGCGGGCGCCTCACTTGGTACCATTAATTGGCGCCCAACGTGGGGCAGCCGTTTCTTTGAAAGAAAATTTTATTCATTTTTTTTTGGCTGTTTTAAGTGCATAGAATCAAATTTCAAGTTCTATCTTTAAACTTTTTTTTATTATTTTTGGAATAGCAGGTATTTTGAACCCCTGTGTATAATAGTCAATTACCTTTATCGTCATTGTTGATTGCTCAACGTATTTATTGAAACAAAATGGATTACAAAATGACTATCTCGTACCTTAAAAAGGAAATGCTCATGCATGAGATTATTGTTCGAGGTGTCTCCGTTAGTGATACAAAGATTGTGGACGAATTAAGGTTTATATTGCGACCATTTCTAAAATTGGAAGAGTCGGTGGCGCCCAAAAATAAAACCCAGCCCTACTCTCCGAATTGTTTAATTCTGAGCTAGGGCATAATTTGCACGCACTTAAACCTTCAGTTCTGCAATCTTAAGTATCTTCAATTTCATTTTATTTTTATTTCTATTTTTATTTATTTATTTATTTTTATTCTTTCTAAACTTTTCAATCACCGAAAAAGCATGGCAAATTAATTAACTGTTCATCCGAGTAAGTATGCGTGCTTCCAACTTGATCCAAGTTCTCATCTAAGTGCACTTCAACCAAGTACTTGGACCGTGTCAAACTGGTTCTAAGATTGAATTTGATTGATAGCCTGTAACTGCAATAGATACAGATTTTGGCAACTGTTGCACTGGTAATCTACTCTAATTTTCACTAAAACGAATACACGAGGATAGCGCAAGGCACAAGCAAGGTAGTGCTTGTCGGGCTCTCGGCACAAGAATAGCGTGATGGTTGGAATACAAACCCAATCTAATTTACAGAGATCGGGCGCGGTGAAAGACTCAGAATTATCAATATGAGAGTACTAAATTAATCAGTAATCGATATTCCGAATTTATTGAAAAATATTTTCAAACCTAATTTTGATAACTGAACGATGCCGATGAGGCGCTAAATCTTAAGGCGCGCCGGGCCAGTCCCTCATTGCAGTCTATTTAAGAACATACTAGATATAGTTGGGAAAAGAGGAAGTTTACTTGTAGGTCTGCTTCTTGGAATCGGGTATTGGCTATCACTAATCAGTTCTCACTTCGTGAAATACTTGGGGGTCACCCTGGACCAAACACTCACTTGGAACAAACAGTTCGAGAAAACATGCTTTAGAGCTATATCAGCAATCTGGTCATGCCGCAAACTGGTTGGTAAAACACGGGGGCTAAAGCCAAAGATGGTATTCTAGATGTACCTTCTTTATTCTAGATGGCTCAAAATTCAGAAAGTCACCGCTCAGATTAAGTTAGACAAGGTACAAAGGCTGATATGCCTAGGAATAACAGGATCAACGTCGACCTGCCCCACCGCAGACTTAGAGAGGCTGCTTAACATGCCTCCACTTCACCTATGTGTTAAAAAGGAGGCAAGAATCAGCGCTCACAGGCTATTCCAAACAGACAAGTTCAAGCCTGGTGATCTGAGGGGACATCTGCGCATCTTTGAAATAATAAAACTGGAGAATGCCAGCAAACCAAGCGACCACGTGTTGGTCAGATTGGACTTGGAGATTCCATTGGCAGTAATAATAAACGAGCGCCAATCATGAGAGAATAAAGAATTACCACAAGCCTACAATGCATCTCTGTAGTACTCAGATGGATCTAAACCAACGCAAGGAGCTGGACTGGGCATTTCCGACCCTAACTTTAAGCTCTCCAAAGCATTGGGCAAACATCTTATAATATTTCAAGCTGAACTGCTTGCCGTAAACATATGTGCACAAGAGTGTCTCAAAGGAAAACACATCTTCATACTATAAGATAGCCAAGCTGCCCTAAAAGCCTTAAGGGCTTTCAAGTTAACTTTTTAAATTACATGTAATTCTAGAAGTTAACTTTAAGTTAACTCTCAAAGTAGTTTTATAATACCCGCCCTAAATGCGTTTTGCACTCGAATGCTGTAGCCGGAGTACTTTGGAGTAACTCGGGACCGCCCAAAGGGTGGCACCCAAAAGCAGCTCTGGTTATCGAGGCATAGAAGGAAACGAAGAAGCAGATGGCCTCGCAAAAGATGGGGCCTCAACAATTTACCGTGGACCAGAGTCAGAGCCCTATTGTGGCTCAATGAAAAGCCACATCATGGAAGACCTCAACAAATGGAAGAAAGACCAACTGTCAATATATTGGAGGCACTCAGGGACTGACAGTCAAAAAGGTTCATCAACCTTTCAGGAACAAGAGATGAACAGCTCCTTAATATGAGCAGACCAGACATCAGCAGAGCGCACCTATTCTTGAAACAGGGGAGCATCGTTCCCAGGAGAACGAGTGTTCCGTCTTTGTTACTTATATTATCATTTGCATATCATTGAGAAACACGGAACACTCGTTCTCCTGGGAACGTTGCTCCCCTATTTCAAGAATAAGGACCCTCTGGAGACAATTTAAGATGTAGCGTCACACAAAATATCTGCAAGGGTAGCAGTGTTGAGCGGCTGGAAAGTCGAAGCGACTCCCCCCACAATCTACAAATCTACAATCAGTTCTCAACTTTCCAGGCTTGCGATTGAAAGGGTGGATGAAAAATATAAATAATCCAATTATTGCCTTCGCATTATTCTCAATAAATGGAGACAAAATTGTAGCATATGTGGAAAATTCTACTGTTTCATACTTCAAATAGAAAAAAAAAAGACAAAACATTTTATATCTATTACCAAATATCTTGGGTATAGACAGTTCATTGCCCTCGCACTTGTCTCCACGTGAAAATCTTCAAAAACTTTTGAGTGAGTCGTCCCGAAAACGCAGTAAACAAAGTCGCAAATCAAACCGTGAAACGGGAACCGAAAGGAAGACTTTATTTTTAAGTTTTCCCAATATTTCTAAGTTCTCTCTCAGTCCACGTCGCTGTTTAAACTTTAGAGAGTTACAGATATAACTTCGGGGGCCATTTCCATGCATGTACCTTTTAAAAATGGAAGAATGTCGCGCGGGGGGTGAATTATGAAAATGGCATCACGTATGCGAGCGTAAGCAAGCTGTAAATATTCCGGTGGTTTGAAAATTGTGTTTGTCTGCAGTTATCAAATTACAAGTGAAGTTATGATAAAAATTACTACATAATTCCCAAGTCCTTGCCAATAATCAAAATACTATTTATTTAAACAAAGCGAAAGTCTAAAAGTTATTAGACGATTAGCGCCAGTAGGCGTAAATTTACGGCCATAAATTCATACTTGCCATGCTTAGCCGATTATGTGTTGTTAAAGACTATAAAAAAACAATAATCCACATGTAATTCACAGCGGGACTCCACCGGTGTGTCAAATTTCTTCGAAAATATGCAATATTTTATCTCGTACCATCATAATATTTTAAAATAATTAGAGTCTCATATAAGCTTGTTGTAATTAAACAGGAATTTATATTTGGTCGCATCGTAAATCATAATCCTTTTACTTTGATAAATATCTTTCCAAGAACATTGATTAAATTCATCTATTATGGAAAACTTCACATAAATGTAATTTTTCCAAAATTTTCTTCCGCTTGTGTTTGAAAACAAAATTACAAAACACGGATACAAAAAACCAATGTGTCATGTTCATTTTTGAAATTCAGAAATATTTGAAATCAACCTCCGCATTCTCGTATAAGTGCCAATAACATAATAGGAAAAACAAACAAATTCAATCTGAAGGCAGAACAAATAAAAAGAAAACAAAACACCTATCATAATCCATCGAATATTTAAGAAAATCTCATAAAATGCAAATGAATTATTATTAACAATAGGCGCCTGACATCAAATTGCTCATATTTCTTGCCTCCTTTGTTAGCAAGATGTAATTTTTTTTTTCTAAATTTTTGAGTCTCGACTGCAAATAAATTCTAAAATTGTTGGCGCCAAAGCGTCAAAATCCCAATACTTATAAATCAAACTATATTAAAACAAATGGGGATTCTGTATGTTTTTTTTTTTTCTATTTTCAGATTTTTTGACGCCATGGACACCCACATGAACAAGTATGCGGACATCACTGGTAAGTGGAAAATTTATTATGTCATTATATTTTATTGACTAATTTTTGTAGCAGTAGCAATTTATTTTTCTAAAGTTTCAAGAACCAAATGATATTTTGTCTTTGTTGTTTATTGAACGACACTAGAATTTATCCGGCCATAAATTACGTGTGCGAGGCTGCACTGCATTTTGCGGGTCGTATATGAAAAATCGCGCATTATCTCAAATCAAACTTTACTTGCCATAGCAAATTTATTATATCAGAAACTTCAAATCGAACAGTAATTTATGGAACTAACCTAGTTTTTCGTTTCATATATGAGTAAAGTTTATTGTTCCCTGGGTTGGGACAGGGACGGACTCAACGGAGACGATTCTTTTGGCGATTATTCTAGAAAGCGTTGATAATAGGTCTGTTCTCACAAGAGTTTCTGTAAGAAACAGTTGCTCAGCTAAGTTACCCATTTATCTTGGAACGACGGCATTGAAACAGTGTTGCCAGGTCTACTGATTTATCATTACATCTACTGATTTGGCTACTGGTCTACTGATATACTGATGTAAATTCTATGGATAAAAGCCGTTATCATCAACAAGTTATTTAAATAGGTACAAATGAGTGATTTGTTGCGGAACTTATGGGTAGACCTCTGCGGGACGAGCGCAGCGAGTTCCGCAGCCATTTTTTCATCAATATGTTGTTTAATTACGATACTAACCCGACTCACTCAAATGTGAGTTATTCTCATAAGTTTTAAAACTACATGTTTCAGGTGAATGTCTTACTTGAATAGTTCAACAGTATATTGGTGAGTAGATGGCTGCGGAACTCGCTGCGCTCGTCCCGCAGAGGTCCACCCATAAGTTCCGCAATAATCCACTCGTTTGTACTCGAATGACTTGTCACATTATGTTACTAGTTTGGTAAAGTAACATTACTTGATAATAGGTCTGTTGTCACAAGAGTCTCTGATAGTTTGCAAACTGTCAGAAACAGTCGCTCAGCTCTAAGTTACCGATTTATCTTGGAACAACGGCATTGAAAATATGGTAGGTATAATGGTATGATGCTTTCTGACAGTTTACAAACTGTCAGAAACTCTTGTGGGAATAGACCTTATATCGCCAGGAAGAAGAAAAGACTGAAGACAGGAAGAAATACGATAAGAGAAAGCTTCCACAACATCGAGATCAAGAGTTTCAGGATAAAATAAACCGGTAATTTATGAGAAACAAATCAGACTCATGTGAAGAATCTGATTGTCTGGAAGTTGGAACTTTTACCCAAGAAATATGGATAGTTTTGATAAGAAGATCAAGAAGTTGGAATAATGTGATTTGAGGTCAGGAAATATCTTAGCTTCGCCTGCAAACGGTATAGAATAACAATTATTATTCAACACTGAAACGCCTACCTTTGCAACGCCATAGCCACTACCGTTGCCGTAGCCATAGCCACTACTACCATGTCTGACAATTGTCATCAATCAGTCCGACTTATTTTTTTCCAGTTAAATTGTTAAATAAAAACATTAAAGAACATGTGTAGTGCATAGTGTTGGAGTTCCCTTCGATACCCGCTACATACTTGGCGCCCAACGTGGGGCCTGGGGTTTTGTAGTGAACCACCACCCCAATGACTTTCTGGACTAATTTTGTGACTGTATAGATGACCTATAGAACGCGAGACATTATCAGTATGTAAGTGTGCAATAATTGACTCAATTATGAAGTTTTGCCACATTCGGATAAAGTACCCACAATTTCTGGAATATTCCACACAAACCGACATTACAGTTCCTCTATTTTGGTGCTGACATTACAGTTTCCTGTGTGTCCAAGTTTGTCCTCCATTTTGTACCCACATTACAGTTTCCTGTGTGTCCGTCCAAGTTTGTTCAAAGGGTTCCTACATTACAGTCAGGATTTACCCGAGTTTGCTGTTTCTCAACACTACATTTCCATCACTTAGCTTACTCCAAGCTGGATTTTCGTGTATATGCCTTATAATCTTCGATCGTCCCAAAAAAATCAAGACAAAATGGGTGACCCTGTTGTTCTGACGAATGAACAATTACATACATTACTCGCTGGTATGAGAGATATGTTTCAGAATACGCCACAATCTACTTCGACACAAAGTAAAGCTGCCAATTTTTCTAAATGCGGCTCAAGGTTTTCTGGAAAGCCACACGAAGATGCTGAAGCTTTTATTGATGCCATCACTATTTACAAAGACTGTCTGAACATCAGTGACGATAACGATGTAAAAGGTTTACTCATGTCACTGGATGGCGCTGCTGCAGTATGGTGGCAAGGCACCAAAAAGCCAAACATTTTATAGACTGAAGTTATAGATGCGTCATGCTTTTGGCTTTAACAAACCAGCAGAGCAGATTTATAGAGAACTGTTTTCTCGAGAACAAGGCAGTACGGAACCAACGGATCTTTTCGTGAATCAAGCCCGTGCACTGCTTTCAAAATTGACAGCAATCTCACCCTTGCCAGAGGAGCACAAGTTAGAAATGGTTTATGGACTCCTTCACCATAGAATCAGGGAAAAACTTCCTCGACATAGTTTCAAGAACTTTTCGGAGATGATCGACAAATGCAGAGCAATCGAATCCAACCTTGCTGAATCCAACGTAAAGTGACTTCCACGTCCGTTGCAGAAAAGCCCAAACACCGGTGTGCATTTTGCAAAGTGTATAGACATGTTCAAGGTGTTTGCAGAAAATTTAAAGCCAAGTCTGCTGAAAAAGCCTCGTCCACTACCTAACAGTCCGATCCAGTAACCCGTCCTCCACAAACGTAACATGTTATGGTTGCGGTAATCCAGGATATATTCGTTCCAATTGTCCTCAATGTAAACCTGCACCAACAACCATTTCCTCTGTCGAAATGCCCGCTGCTGATCTCGATGAACCTTTCAGTTTGTTATCAACGTTTGATGGTTCGCCTTTAAGACCCATGATACCTGTCATCATTCAAAGTAAATAAGGTTTTGCTTTTGTGGATTCCGGAGCAAGATGCAGTATTGCAGGTTCAAAGTTGTTAAGCCACTTAGATGCTATTCAGCATCCATTCAAAGCTGCTCCAATAAAACTGGTATTCGCTGATGGTATACACCGAGAAGTTGAAGCAAAGATGTACCAGTGTTCCATCGAAGTTATGAATAAACAACGAAAACTATAAATGATTGCGGTTTCAGACTACAAAGATAGTAAGAATTTACTTGGTGTTGATTTCATATTACAATTCGATATAGTGCTCAATATACGTAAGAAGATATACTATTTCAATGATGATCCAAGCAATTCCTTGCCATTACAGGATGAAGTTATTGATTCCAACGCAGTTTTGTCTGTTGTTGACGGGAATAATTTGTCGTTGCCGTCTCTTTCCAATATTGAAGAAGGGACATTGAAATCGCTGTTAGAACATAACAAGGATTTGTTCGATGAAAATACAAGAATTACCCCATATGCTGAGCATACCATCATCCTCACTGATAATATTCCCATAGCTGCACCACCATATCGCTTATCTCCTGTGAAGAAAGAAGTTTTTGCGTCAGAAGCTTGTCAAACTTCTTGCCGGCGATATCATTGAAGAAAGCGAATCGCCGTACGCATTTCCAGTCGTCCTTGTACCGAAGAAAGACGGAACTTCACGTCTTTGTATTGATTATCGCTGACTGAATGCTGTCACCAAAAATGTTCGTTACCCGTTGCCTCGTATAGATGACCTTGTCCATTCAACTGGAAAAGCTAATCAAGTACCTGTCAGAGAAGAAGACCGTGATAAAACCGCCTTTGTCACGCCATTTGGACTTTATCGATATAAGACGATGCCTTTTGGTCTATCCACAGCTCCAGCAACGTTTCAAATGCTAATAAAGTTCTGAGGGAACATTTCAATAATATGTCAAAAATAAATTAGAAATGTCTGTATACTATGATATAGTTTTGTTAAATACAACATTTTTTAGTGGCATCATGTTGACCAAAAGCCCGAATGCAGCCTACGTTTCTTTGATTGTTTATTACAAAATCCCATGTTTTCGGACAACATTAACGGTTTTAAATCGATACGTTATCTCGAAAATATTGCTTTATCATGTTTTTTTTTTCTCTATTAAAAAGAACCATTTTGCCCAACCCATTTTGGTTGTCCAAATGACATCCTCATACAAGCGTTTTATTGGTTAGATTAAGTAATAAAAAACTAAATAAACAACATAATTATGTAAATAATCCTGCCTTTTCAACAAAAACTACACCGATAACCGTGCATATTTATTTCACTATTCCCTAAAAACTTTTTCTCTATTTTCGACACCTTTGTGAAGATAGCCCACGTATATTGGACGCTATTTGGCATAGTTTATCGCTTCCCATACTCGTTTTATTGAAAAATATGGGAGATGCAAGTTGAGTTTACATTATGGACGAATTCTAATGGTGAAGGTATTACAGATATTATATGGGTGTGCCGGTTAAGATGGATGACGACGAAAGAGCACCATCGAATTTTAGATTGTCGATAATTATTTATTATTTTTGATCTCTACTATGTCGTGTTGAGTTTCGAATATAATTAGATTGAAAGCATACAATAATATTGTGGAATAATGAGTTGAGGACTTGAGATTTTCTTTGTGAATGCTAGAAATGTAATAATACCAGACAATGATAGAAAAAGTGGCTATGAAAATAATGAGAGGAACTAATGGACAAACTCTACAGGACGATTAAGGATCTTTTGACAATAGAGTAAGAGAAAACAACATTGAACTAAATACATGAGCACCAGAAAAAGCAAAATGATGTTGGTTCAAATAGCAATAGCCTACTTATATCATAGATATCAATCCTTCCTTGTTGCGGAACCAAAGCTTTCATCTGAACGTCGGCAGTTTCTAGAACCATCATCATCTTGAGAGCTTTCGACAGTTCCTGAACCTCTAGCATAACCTTCATCGTCTCTCGAATCTTCCGCCGAATCTGGATCTTCTGCAGAACCTGAACTTTTAGAGGTGTTGACTTTGCCACTACCATTAACACCTAAAATAAAACTGTTCATCTGAATTTGAACGAAACAAAAACTGAACTCAAATGTAAAGCATAAATCAATAAATAATCATTATAAACTCTTGTTATACATTCAACTTGTGTGATCTTCGATTGAAAAAAATAACCGCTAAGGCCGTTTAAATGAAAAATAGCCAGTATCCACCCGACAATTTGTCAGTATTAAAATTCGGTACATTCCTCGAATGTTTCACTCGCCCAAAAATTTAATATTAAAAAATTTATTGCTGCGCCGCGAAGCCCAACAAAACTGGTAAAATCGTGGCGCTCGGATGTAAATTGCCTGCTCTAGAGATACAAGAAAATACTTATCTTTTTTAAATAATATCAAAGTACATTTTCGGAGAATGTAGATCATTACATTACACAGTTAGAAGATTTTACCTAAACAACGTTTTATATAATATATATCATCAGACGGTTCTTACAATATTTTTATAAGAGTTCTTCAGTGGTACCTACTGAGCTGTAATGACAAAAGCGATAAGATCACGCCCAATATTTCAGGATATTGTACCTACCAGTAGATTCGAAGAAACAGTATATGATGGTACTGGTACCATACACGACACACAAGCCATATTACGGTTTGTTTAATGTATCTTTCCTGCAACAGATATATTTTTTTATCTACATAATAAACACGGTTTTATTTGATTATTTGTTGTAGAAAAGCTGTGCTAACATGAGAATTTAGGTTGAAGAAAATGAAAAAAAAGTACCTAGAAGAAATGTCCATAAGTATCGATATCGATTATAATAAAAATGAAGATTGTTATCTGGTCGGCTGGAGACTAAATTTTATCTGAGAAATTTATGACGGTGTACTTAAGGAAAACAACATTTTGAATGGCTTGTAGATATTTCTTTACACGTAATTTTGTACTATGGAAAATATCCACGCTGAGATTTTCATTGTCTAAGCAACATTCTTCTTAGTATTCAATAAAATGTTTGGATGGAATCGGCTTTACCTCTAGGCGTTATAATCAGAGCTCTTAAAGTAACAAGTTGTTTCAGATAAGTTCAGGTACTCTCAGCAATAAAGATGTCAATGGTTCATTTGAGAACTAATTTATATGTGAATCAAATTGTAAAATAGATAGGATAATAGCTAAATTAAGAGACGATTAATTTACTGAAATTTATTAGCAAATGTAAATTAGGACGATAAATGTTTCAAGAGGAAAAGTTGTGTCGAATCATTTTCAACGTAGGATCAGATAACAATTTGGTTATGGATATTTTTATTTTATACTGAAATTGGCTGTAAATTGTACTAAATTTTCAAATGAATAACCCAAGTCGTTTTCTAAAAAAATTGATTCAAGTATGTTGGGCATCGTGACCACATCTCGTGGCTCAGTAAAACTGGCTGGTAACATGAACCTGTTCCCCATTTGAAATTGATTAAGCGGACAGTAAATAATAATTGTGAAGAGATCGAAAATCTATTACGGTCCGCTGAAGATTCATTCTTCATCATAACTTCTTCTTCTTCTGCGTTTAAAGAATTTTTCGAGTGGGAGGACTGGACTCTCGCTGGCCACTTATCGATAATAATAATTATTGAACCTGCATAGTTTTATCGGGTATCGAGTTTGAGTTCCGTATATTTTTCGAGAATTATTTCTCGGTATCTGGTGAAATTTTATATATGGGTCATTGTATTTTTAGATCCGATCGTTTATATAACTTTTGAAGATGATGACTACCTATGTCACATGGGCCTGCTGCTGGTTTGACTTGAATGTGCAGTAAAGATTTACTTCTTGTCTGATAACTTTGAGTGTGTAGATAAGTTGCATTCTGTTAGTAAGGTTAACGAGATTCCTACTGTCCCTACCCACATTCCGATGGCTGGTTTGCCGGTGCAATTTTGTTAACCTCCACCGAACTATCGTGTCTTCCATCTCACGATAGGGGAAGGAGGGAGGAACTCTCGCACGATCCAAGAATTCTGAGTAAAGTTCCTGAGCCTCCTTCCAGCAAGACGGTAGCGGTATTGTCTGTCCTTCGCAAAAAGTAGGGAACTCAACGAACGATTCTAGTAAATCTGGCTAAAAGTTCGCTGTGCCCAGCTTTCCGGGGATAGGCGATACTTCGAACCGCGACTCTTCCGGTTAAACGAAGACCCGGGGCCGCCGGGGGGTTAAAGGTATAACCTGAGTAATACCCATAGTCTCACTAGTTGGCATGAGCGAAGGAGCTCTAAATGTCTACTCTATCACAGGTATCTGGGCAATGGATGACTGGGGTGTTCCGAACAAATCGCATAAAAAAACTCCAACAAAAACTCAAGAATGTGTACCATGTTGGTACCAGATCCCGACATGGAACCCAGTTGGTACCAGATCTCGACAATCTGGTGAACCTTGAAAATTATGATTTATCTGCCCCCCAAGCTCCTAGACTTCCATAAATTTTGGAACACAGGAGCCTCATTTCGCTTATTCACTCGGTGGAACATATCTCCGCATATGACTGACATTAAAGGTGCCTCGCTCAGCTTTGAAATCCAGATTTTCCAAAACATACGTGGCAAAACTGACCTGCTTCTTAACCCTAAAATTGCCAGTGAAAAGCAGTAACATTTTTTTTTTGTTTCCGCTCATATTGCTGACGGCCCCACGTTGGGCGCCAAGATGAAACAGAACGCAAATTCAAGGGGTGGTGGTTCAGTGGCGAATTGGGAACAAAAAGAATTCCAAGACAGATCTTGGTTTTATTGCGTATAAATACAGCTCAAATATATGTTCCAGTAAAATGTAGGAAATAATATCAGACATATAATTTACCTGACACTACGTAAACTATATCCTATAAAGGATTTACACAATATTAATATAATTTCGACACGAAAAGATGCCAGCCGTAGTACACGTGATAATTGATAATCTTTGAATGTGTACCAGTTTGGGAACCCAGTTGGTACCAGATCTCGACAATCTGGTGAACCTTGAACATTATGTTTTAGTTTCGACCAATATATAATGGTCATCCTCAAAGTCCTAAAATACATCATAAAGACAACTTGTCGTTTTATGTATGTCTTCCAGCTGTCAATAGTAGATGTGGGGAGGATGGTATTCGTTGGAATCTTCTATGCTGTGAAGTGCTAAAACATGACGGAACCCAGCCTGTCCCAAAGATTGGTCTAAAACAGAGCAATCAATCAAGCGATGGTTGGTGATGATTTTCATTTCCAGCTTGTTTGGCATGGTAGTTTCTGATGTCAGTGATTATTCCATTGCTGTGGTATTTTGGCACTTATCCATTACTTAATATTCTATTCAATGTTGATAGGTCTGATCGCACAGCAATAGCAAACCAGTCAGAGCGAGTTTCATGGGTTGAAAACAGTCAGAAAACTAGTTTCAACCAATTATATTCATTCCGACTGATTTGTGAAACAGACCTGTTATCAGAGTTTCTTACCCTTCTTCCAGCATTTCAACTGTCACTCTACGTTCTCCTGTTGATTTGTTATTGTTCAGATCACTTCTGGACCTATGATGCGATCCATTTGCCTCTGGAATGTAGCGGGCGCGGAATGTAACCCAAAAGGCATTACTCGAAACTGCTATAGACCCATTTCTGGTACGGTGAAAGCGGTAATCGGTTTGCTATCTTTAGCAAGAGTTATTTGCCAGTACCCTTGTTTAAGGTCAATGCTAGAAATGTCTCGGGTGCGGCAGAGTTTGTCCAGATTCACATCCTTTACTGAAAGAACTATGAACAAACAAAAAAAAAAAACAAGAAATTCCATTTCAAAACCTTAAATCTATCAGAACCCCATAAACGCCTTATACCACCACACCACATATTTTTTTTGTATGACTTAGCATAAAATATGTTTCAGAATAAATATGTAGCTTTAACATTAACACTTATAACAAAATCCTAATACATACAAACATTTAACGTTAATAATGATACAGTATCAGTTATTGATTTTTTTGATCAAGGCAAATTTAATTAAAAAAATCTCACGAGTCATCGTACAATACCGAAACAGAAGCGAAACAAAACGTTATTCTCCACGTCAACTCCAATTTACCAATAACACCGTAACAATTTGTGTACGACCCAACAACAACAGGCACCATTACGCAACCTCGGGCAGGCATAACATAAATATACAAACGATTGTATTAAATTTATTCCATTTAAATTGACAGTTGGATTTATTGTAAATGACGCGGCGCTTCGTCGGTTAGGATGGATCGAAGTCTTGGCCGGCGAGGCGGTCTTAACAGCGTATGAACGGTAATAAATGTAGTAGTTACTGACATGGAGTGGACACCCTGTGGAGTGGTTTTGATATCGAGAAATCGACCGATTATTTGTCCGAAGTAAAAGCTCGGCGCGGTATGGGTGGTTCGCTTGTCATCGGAACCAATGGAACTTGCGAATAGCTGGTTCGATGTTTATTTGAATCATGGTTATAGGCTTATGCCGCTTGGGAAGTTTTTATCATGCTTTTGTACATTATCGAACCAAATTATAGTTGAATAAAGAATATACACATATTTAACTTGTCTCAGGTTCCGTTGATGCTTTACATGCGTGTAGTAACTATAGATCATCTTTATGTGAACACAAATATTTCACTGAGATGGTGTTTGTAAAAGCACATGAAGAAAACATGGAATTGTCTCATTCAATTTTTTTTTTCAGATTCTTTAATTGGAGTTCACTGTACGCATGGCTTAAATAGAACCGGCTACTTTATTTGTCGTTGGATGGTCGAACGTTTAAGGATGAATCCCGATGAGGCTATTCAACGTAAGCTTATCAGAAATTAGCAGCAACATTCATTTCAATTTCTGTTCCAGGCTTTAATCAGGCTAGAGGCCACAATATCGAACGAGAACCTTTGCTGAACCACATACGATCAGAATATCTACTATCATTTCCGCCCACCAGGCAACCTCCTCCTCAATTTCGAAGCAACAGGTATTATTCTCCTCTTGATAGCGCTGAATATGATGAAGTTCCAAACGGAAGCAGATTTAGTCGTCCTAGAGACCATAGAGGATACAATGATACAAAATATGGAAATAATAATAGAGCACATCGTAGAAGAGGAGGCCGTAATGATGGAAATAAATCCGATGATAACACGAACTGGAGTCTCCGTGATGATGATCAAAATCAAGTCAGGCACTTCAAGAACTTTCATAGGCAAAATCGTAAGTAGATCAAATAATAGAAACTGAACTGGGTTCTTATTCTTGAAACAGGGGAGCAGCGTTCCCGGGAGAACGAGTGTCCCGTCTTTCTCAATGATATGCAAATGATAATATGAGTAACAAAGACGGAATACTCATTCTCCTGGGAACGCTGCTCCCCTGTTTCAAGAATAAGGACCCTGATGGTTTCGTTTTTTGAACTTCACACTGCTGTCAAAATTTTGAATAAATGATGACCTATTAACTTGTGTATTTTCATTTGAACCAAATTACATTTCATAGATATCGATGATTGTTAGTGCTCGAGCTCGTAATTTTAGTGGCAATTTTTCTCACGGGTTTATCCGTTAACTCTTCTGAATTTATGGCGCATTTTATTATCGTGGTCAAACGTCGCCAGTAACCCGAAGCCCCCGGGGACATTATCGGCATATTTCGCTAACAAGGTAGCCCGACACCAGGACACGGTTTGCTGACACAAGACATTCATTTGGTTTCTGCAAGGAAAATTAATATTATACATCTAAAATGAAATGCCATGACTATTGTTTTTGAGCAACAAAGGTGTTTTTAAAATATATAGGGACGTGTGTTATAATTAAACACCCTCTGCTCCCATTGACCATATACGTGGCGTCTAAATGCCCTGCCCTTTACTTGTAGCTTTGCGCCCAAAGACTAACGAGCGTGAACAATGACCCATTGTTAGAAGTATAGCTTGAGGTAGGTATCAGATCACCTCCAAGGAAGAAAACGAGTCGGCGACATTATCATTTTCGAGTTCTCCCATGCAGATCCATAATTTGTTGACAGGTCTTTTTTGTTTTACACCGTACGGATAAAATGCCCAAAATGGTTCTTATGAATATGTATGAACTGTATAAGTATGATGCATGTCTGTGTCGTGTGACAGCGATCGAGAAAATATTTACATAGATTTTTACCAGGAGAAAAAAAACCTTAGATATAATAATATATCGATATTAGCCAAAAAGCGATCCAATGGACTTTGATCCAACGTCTAATGAAGACAGCATCAATTTCATTAGCACATGCAATTTTGACTTTCTTGCGTAAAAAAAGAGATCTACGCGCAGATAATCTTTGCAGTGAAAAAATACGCATCAGAGATCAAGACTTTTAAAAAACAGTCCTCATCAACCATCATAATTTGATAGGTATGAGATTGCTTAAATGTTAATTAACAACGAAATTTTCGAATTGATATGACATCCACTTGATCTTAGATTAAATTCCTTCCTATAAGAATAAACACCGCTAAATCCCGATTCGATATAATCCTCCAAAAAAAAAAAGAATGAAAAAATAAATATGTTATGTATGTCAGGGAAGTTTCATATCAAATAGATAAACACTCGAGAGATCGTTAATACTAACTTGATACCACCAAAAGGATTAGGTTTAATCTGTTATTGTATTTTTACGAATATTATGTCTATATCTATGTGAATATGTGTTTATTGTTGGTTTTGTTTACCGACTTTGTAGTAGGCGCCTGTGCGATCGAACATGCACTACATTTATTCAATTTATTTATTCCAGTAACAAATGATCGCATGAAAATGCTAACAATATTGTCTCTTGTTGGGCATCTCATAGCTCCTCTTATTATTCTCCATTTGATTCTGGTTTCTTGTGTAGTGCTTTTCGCAGGGCAGCAGCTAGGGGGTGGGGAACTAGGCGTGAGCCTAGGGTGCTAAAGTACCGAGGCGCCTTCTCGCCGCCAAATAAAATTAATATACAACCTGACAAAAGTCAAATTACAGTGGTTAGATTGGACTTAGAGATCTCATTCGCAGTGGTAATAGACGAGCGCCAATCATGGGAGAATAAAGAATTACCACAAGCAGACAATCCAAACTAACGGAAAGAGCTGGACTAGGCGTTACTGGCCCTAACTCTATAAGCTCTCCAAGGCATTGGGCCAACATCTTACAATATTTCAAGCCGAGCTGCTTGCCGTAAACATTCGTCTTCTATCTCACGAACTCTCGTATCTCATTTTTTTCAAAATTTGAGATAAGTAGTCCGGAATTCTATTTTTCCAAGTACTTAAGCCTCACGAAGTACTGTATCTCAATCTATATTACTTTATCCCATTTTGACGTTTAAAAATGACATTATTGAACGCATAATGACAAAGGTAAGTAGACGTTTATCACCTGAGTGATTTAAAATATTTTTAACTCACTCTCGGTCTTTTAAGTCACTCTGCCAGTATAAAAATCTGCTACAAATACAAACAAACAACTAATTATACCTTAGCAACCACCAATTTCAATAATTAGCGCTTTCATAACTACTAAATGAATTCTTTTTATAATTTGATTCCTTACTTTTTAAATGTCCATCAAAATGGGATAAAATTTTGTATAAATCACGTGAGTTTAAATGTTTATTCATTCGAAAACAATTAACCCACTCGCTAGGGCTCGTGGGTTAAACTTTCTTCTCATGAATAAACATTCATTTAACTCACTTGGTGTATAAATAACTATTATGAGATAGGTCATTTGAAATTATTCGCGTATTTCAAAAACGTTGATTTTAAAGTCTAACGAACAGACGTGAGTCGAGTTACGACTACTTATCCGTGAGATTTTTGAATTCAAGGAGCACTGAATTTTTCATGGCGTTAACAAATCTAAATGAAATAAAAAACTCGATTGCACTTGTTCGGGCGCGTAGTGATTTGTCTTCTCCATTCCGGTATTTTTTTTTAGTTATTTTGTTAAATGTGGTTGGATGAAAAGAGCTTATATACAAAGAAGAGTTAGAAAAAGAAATTGGGGTCAGAATTCTTCACAACAACATGAAATACCAAAGGCAAGGTAATAGTAACAGGAACAGAAACATTGTCTTGAGAAACTACAATTTTCTGTAATGATATCTCAGCGGGATGGGTGAAACCTTCCCTTGCGACAAGTGTTCCCGTTTTGGAAATTTCTGAATTGGACTTTGGGACTAGTACAGTGAAAACTAGTAGATACCCAAAACATCCACCATTAAATATTGCAATTTTTTTTAACAAAATTGCAGAACAAAGGAAACGCAGCTCTTATGAGGGTTGTGGAACCTTTTGCTTTGAAAATATTCAAACAAAACAATACAGAATTAAAAACACTATTTCACCTACATGATGAGAAAAAATCAGGAAAAAATCATGCAGAACTTGTTAAAATTGGAAAAGCTTTATCTCTATCAGTCAAGAGGAGTGCTTCATGATAGAAAAAAATACAAGAAACCAAACAGACAACCCTAACTGGTATAAGCAGAGGGCTGGAAGTATAACTGCCTCAAAGATGAGGTCTGTTTTGAAAACCAATAAAAATTCGCGATCTATAAGTTTAATCGAAAGCATTTGCTACCCAACCAAAATGCGTTATGTTCCAAAGGCAATAGAATTGGCCCTAAAACATGAACATATTGCAGCCGAGGAATACGGAAAGCGGATGCAACGGCAGCATGCAAATTTTGTTCTGAATGCGGTAGGATTAATAATGAATCCAAAATATCGCCAATTGGGAGTTTCTCCAGACAGGATGGTATACTGTGAGTGCAGGGACAGACTTGGTTCTGAACTTGCGGCGGGCGATTTCCTCCATGGGTCGCCATCACCAAGAAAAAGTTGAAGTACGTATAGGGCCACTTGAGCCTAGGAACTTTTTCGATACCGTGGGAAAATCGGCGGATTTTGCTGGTTTTCTACTGGTTTTATGCTGGTTAAGCTGATTTTGTGCTAGTTTTCACTGGTTTTGCGCTGATTTTCACTGCTTGTCACTGGTTTTATATTGGTTTAGCTGGTTTTGTAAAATTCAGCACAAAGCCTGCAAGCAACAGTGAAAACCGGGAAAATCCAGCCTAAAACCACCAAAAAAACAGCAAAATCCGCTGATTTTCCCACGGTATCGAAAAAGTTCCGACGCTCAAGTGACCCTATATTTACTAGTTGAAAGTTAGGCTAATCATATGTTATCGATAAGAATGAATTACCTTACCATTATTTGTTTCCCAAGAAAAAAATTAACATTTTATTGAGGTTTTCGTTTCGCTAGTCTTAGTTACATTATTGATAATTTCGTTATTGTCTAACGACACGAGTAAATTTTTTTCTATAGACATTATCACCATAAACACTTCCAGGTTGCTGTGATTTAGGTTACTTCATAATTGATCTAAATATACTTCAGCTTCTTGAGCTTCGATCACAACTAATTTGCGCAACTGATAGTCGACAAATATTTTTAAGCTTTCGACAGTATTGGATAAGTATATGAAGGTTGACAAGGTCCAAGAAGTGTACGTGAATCAAGTACCCTTGGATGCTGCGCGCGCCTCACTTGGACGATACTTGGACCGTGTCAAACTGGTTCTAAGATTGAATTGGATTGATAACCTGTAACGGCAATAAATACAACTGAAACTGTTGCACTGGTAATCTACTCTAATCTTCACTAGAGCGAATACACGAGGAAGACGTAAGGCACAGAGACGCCCTCTATCGGTCGCGGTAAAAGTCTCAGAATTTAATATAAAACTTTAATGGAAATTCTAAATTCTTTTTAATATGAGAGCCCTGAATCAATAAATAATCGATATTTTGAATTTATTTAAAAATATTTGCAAACGTTATTCTGATATTATTTAAATTTTACGATGCCGATGGGGCGGTAAATCTTAAGGGCGCAGCGCTAGCTCGCCGGGCCAGTCCGTCACTGTGTGAGTGCTGTTTAGGAGGAGTTGTAGAAATAAAGTGCCCATATTTACTCCATGCTAATAATAATGACAACATAAACAAATACATAAATATGAGGCATTTCTGTTTAGAATCAAATGGTAATTTTTCAAGATTAAAAAGAGAAAATCAATATTATTATCAGGTGCAAATGCAAATTTTCATTAGTAACCTACAGTACTGCAACTTTGTAGTGTGGTCACCAAAAGTTTTCCACAATGAAAGCATTTCACCTGACTTTAAATTTTGGGAAGAAAATTGTGAGAAGATTTGGAAATTTCATGACGGAATAATAATTATGCCTGAACTTTTGGGTATAGGTATTTCACCAAAAGGAAAGGTGCTGCAGAAATCAGCTATT